TGCACAGTTTATAAGCCACAGTGCAACTTTCTTCGTCCATTTTACTGTTTTCCTAGGAAGGGAATAATAGGCCAAGTACTGGTCAGCCCTATCAACTCCCTTCATGAACATATTATACTCGGAAATACAAAGAGGCTTCTTCACTTGCCCGTGGCGTCTCTGAACATCAACCATACACGAATTGTGAATAGTGGAAACCATATTCACAACGCGAGTATCCCTCCAGGACTGAAGAAGAATGCCCTACTTCCTCCTGAATGTGGAGTCACCACGTTTCAGGCGTTTACATTCCTCTTTCAGAACTGAAGAAAGGCCTCTGTTCACCCTAATTGTACCACAAATACGTACTTTCCTTGAAAGTAGGTATTCTGCAGTTGCCACACTGTTGTAATAATAATCTTCATAAACGTGATAATTTTGATCCAGACAGGGACCCAAAACAGAAACAACAGTTTCTTGCCTTCAGCAGAATAAATTTCTAAATTTCCTATATAGCCTGAAGTGCTTTCCGTGACTACACGAACAAGCAGGCCATACTTTGTGAGTTCCCCAGGATTATACGTTCGAATACGAAGCCTTCCCCTCCAAGGAATCACAGGTTCGTCAAAGACAGTTGTTGCTCTGGCTTATAATCTGTCTGAAATTTCTCAACCAAAACGTCTAATAAGGGCTGAATTTTGAAAAGCCTGCCCGTTGGTTGTGGTTGCACTTCATTATTATTGAAATGCAAACACCACCATATCTGTTCAAATCTCTTACGACTCATGAGTTTGACAAAAATGGGAATTTCTAAAAATGGGTCACTTGACCAATAATCCTTCAAAGTATCTTTCTTCGTAAGCCCCATTAGAATAACCATAGCCAAAATTTGTTTCATTTCTGTTGAAGTGACATCCACCCACTTCAACACCTTATAGGTGTGGTCATATGCCTCGCGGTGTTGGAGATAGTATCTGTTAGTCTCCTGACATAACAGGTCAAAGAAACTATCTCCAAAAAACAGTGATGCAACTTCAGACACACCCGTCGGGTCCGATGGCACCCGCTTCACCCCCGGATCACCAGTAAACCTACCCAAAGTGGGGATTTTGTCCACTTTACCCCATGTGGCTGTCCCGGTACTCGCACTTTCACTGGACACAATATTTTGGGGGGCCCTGTGGCCCCTGTCACTGTCACTTTCACTGAGGCTGGCCTCGCTATCAGAAGACGAAGCAGTTGGCAAATCTGATAGTTCATCAGAGAACAAATCTAATATTTCTTGTTCTCCCAGAGAACGCTTCACCTGCAACTGCTTTCGTCTCTGAGCCATGTTGCACTGCTAACTTCCTGGTTCATACGTGGAAGCTTGGACTCGAACGAAGGCTTTTTTCTTTAGGGTGTGACAGGAAATGAGCGTGATCATGTTACTGGCTAAGCTAGCAAACATTCCCGAGGTCAACTACGCAGTAGTTATGATGCAACGTGGCCACACAGCAAGATATAGTCGGTTGCAACATAACGCGTCAGAAAAGGGCCAATTGGCCCGCCCCATCCGCAACGCTATAGAAACGTAGAGAACCAATTGGCCCCTCCGGCCCTGAATGCATTAACTGTCATAGTATTAAAATGCATTTTTAGTGACCAACATATTCCTAAAGTCTTTTTAAAGTTGTATTATTGACGGACACGTTAGTAAAATAGGATATTAAATCCCATAATTACTCACTATTTTTCAAGCCTTTGGGGGGAGGGGCGGTAACACAAGACACTTCAGAAATTAAACAAATTACAAGTCTTACCTTGTGTGGTTACATTTAACAGCTGTGTGTGATTGTAATCCTGCAGGGGGTTGCGATGCATTGAAACTTCTAGCCCCGCATTCATCAGTTGTGCATTCCTTCCTTCTCTACGAGCTTTGGATCGAGCCAACATTCGCTATTAAAAGAAGCCATATTATAAACCTCCCTACCAATGGTATCTCCACCTTATCATGGTGGTGGGGTTTGAGAGCTCCTGAGACCCTGAGAGCTATGCCGGCGGTAGCATAGCTACTGGTAGAACCAACCATGCCGGACAGGTCAAAGGGTAGGAGCCAGACAGAGAGGGATACCCTGGTCCTCCAGGTTGGGGGTTGGGCATAAGGCCACCAACCTCACACCGTAAAAACTAAATTGTTCAGAAATCCGAGGAAAGAGTAGCCGGATGGGCCTATTCAAGATGACCTGGAAAATGTTTAAAGGATCTGAGAACTGGATCCTGGAATGTATTACCTCTTTACAGAGCTGGAGCACTGAAAATGCTATTTGAACAACTAGATAGCTATAAACTAGATATCACTGCTATACAAGAACTGAGGTAGTTGGGTAAAGGAGTCATGGAAAAGAGGGATCATGTTCTATTCTATAGCTGTCAGAAGAAGAGTCACATGTTTGGAACAGGTTTTATTGTTAATAAAAAAAGAAAGCATCTTATTTTAGACTTCCAAGCAAAATCTCACAGAACATGTAGGCTACGAATTAAGGGGAAGTTTTTTAACTATAGCCTTATTTGTGCAAATACCCCAACTGAAGATAAAAGTGATGAGGAGAAAGACTCCTTTTATGATGAATTGGGTGAAATGTATGGCGAACGTCCAAAAAAAGATTCTAAAATAATCACAGGGGACATGAATGCTAAAGTGGGGAACGAGGATGTATACAGATCACTTATTGGAAAACATAGCATACATAACAAGTCAAATGATAATGGGATGAGATTAATAAATTTTGCTTCCTCAAGAAACATGGTAGTAGGTAGTACAATGTTTAATCACAAGGATATACATAAACAAACCTGGAAAACCCCTGATGCAAATGTGTTTAACCAAATTGACCACATCCTAATATAGATGTGACATTGTTCAGACTTGATGGATGTCAGGAGCTGCAGGGGGGCCAACACTGACTCTGATCATTACTTAATAATATCTAGGATTAGAAGTCGAATATCTAATGCAAGGAAGATCCATGGATCCCAGGCTAAGAAATTGAATTGTGGAAAATTGGTGGAACAAGGGGTTGCAACCATATATACTGGATTAATTTGTGAATGCCTGGCAGGTCTCTCTGATAGTGAGGATGTCAGTGAAGCTTGGAGGGCCTCAGAGATGTTATTATAAATGCTGCTGGTGCAGTCTTAGGAAGAATGGAAAGGATAAAGTATAAGAATTGATTTGATGGAGAGTGTGAGCAAGTGACAAATGAAAAAAAACCAGGCATATAAGAGAATGCAGCAAAGGAACCATACTTGAGGGGCCGTGGAAGAATACCGTGAAGCGAGAANACCCCTGATGCAAATGTGTTTAACCAAATTGACCACATCCTAATATAGATGTGACATTGTTCAGACTTGATGGATGTCAGGAGCTGCAGGGGGGCCAACACTGACTCTGATCATTACTTAATAATATCTAGGATTAGAAGTCGAATATCTAATGCAAGGAAGATCCATGGATCCCAGGCTAAGAAATTGAATTGTGGAAAATTGGTGGAACAAGGGGTTGCAACCATATATACTGGATTAATTTGTGAATGCCTGGCAGGTCTCTCTGATAGTGAGGATGTCAGTGAAGCTTGGAGGGCCTCAGAGATGTTATTATAAATGCTGCTGGTGCAGTCTTAGGAAGAATGGAAAGGATAAAGTATAAGAATTGATTTGATGGAGAGTGTGAGCAAGTGACAAATGAAAAAAAACCAGGCATATAAGAGAATGCAGCAAAGGAACCATACTTGAGGGGCCGTGGAAGAATACCGTGAAGCGAGAAAAGAAAAAAGATTGCATGAAAAGGGAATATGATAAACAAGAACTGATTGAACTGGAACATTTAAGAAGTTCAAACGAAATTAGAGCGTTTTATAAAAAACTAAACAA